ACTGAATAAATTAGATATTTGTATAAATATATACTACAACGTTTCTGCAATCGAGTGTATATATATATATATACATATATATATATCCACTACTTCTACTACTAACAATTAACTATAAATAAAAACTATAAAAGTATATCAATAAATATAAAGATCAATAAATGATAATAAAGTGTTATAAAAGATTTGAATTTTGATTAAATTCTACATTACGAACGGCTTTTTTAAAAATTATTTAATGAGTTCGCCTCTTTAATGGTCATATCTAATTTATTCCATTCGTTGCTTGCGAAGTTTATTGAGGTCCAAAGACCCCAATCCCTTTTGGCTAACGAATATTATTTCTTGTTCTAGTGTTATAATTATGAGTAACTTCGTTGAAATCTAAGTTAAAAGTATGTGAAAAAAGATAGTTGTAAATACGTTTGTACAAAAACATTAAACGATGTTCAACTCTTCTTCTATTAAGTGAGTTCCATTTGAGCTTATTCACAAACTCGGTGGCAAAATAAACTAGTATTATTAGAGCAGACCCTGGTTGAACCCGAGGTAGCTTTACCCCGAGTATCAAAGACGAGATTCGCATAAACATGAGTGGTCAACTGTTCTCGTTTGTTGTGTGGCTCTGTTGACTTCGCAGAGTTCCGTTAGTGGTTTCGATAGAGTTGACGGCATAGTACATTCTCCTTCATCGTCCTGCACATATGATGAACTTGACCTACATGGTGCTTTTGTCTAGGCTGTCAATCCTACAATTTTTACTCGGGCTTTTCCGAAGAAAACGGCCGAGTTATAAATTGGGTTTCGTTTTTTGCGTTGCCACAAATCGCCGTCGCGTTCACAGCGCATGCGTTGATTCTATGTAGTGCGCATGCGTGGTAGTATGAACCGTAAAAGCACATGGTCGAAGAGTAATGTCGGATTGTCTCAAGGTCTCGTTGCTGACTGCGAATACTATGGAGTCTATGGAGTTTCACGGTTAAAGAGAAAGCCCGAGTTCACGCAGTCATGCGTCTAGTTTTTATATAGTCTTCAATAAACCTTTCACAGGACGGTTTCATAGACCTATAACTAAGTCGATTTTAGCTGTAAGTCTTAACTCCCACCTTACAAATCGGTAGAGAATATTGGATTTAATAGCTCCTAAAAAATCGAGACCGTCGTTCATCAAAATGCATGCACAACACCATCTACTAATTAAAGTCCCCTACATTCCCTTAGTTTTCCAACCTCACCTCAGGATGAGAGCTGGGACGCATAAAACTAATGACGGCCTAATTCGACCAAATGAAATACCTACCAATGCACAATGATATAGATATATCAATAGAAATGAACGTCARACTAAGAATCGTATTCTCAAAGGAATACATCTGTCTGAATATGTCAAAGCAGTAATCTTAACTGCCCCTCGCACAAGTAGGAGAGAATTTTTAAAGAACATTTGATTGGCTCAGCGTGATGGATGACCGGAGCACTACTTCGTGGTACATTAGTCAAAGAGGATATTGATGTAAGTGATTTAAAAGCTACCCTACCAARTCGAATTTTCAGCGATTTGATTCTACATAAAATAGATAGTACATGAATGAGATTTTTTGTCATCCGGATCATTTGTAAATAAAAAACCGTGATTACTATAAGAAAACCAATTTGCAGTAAACTTTCTATAAACCCTTACTAACCTAACTTAGATAAACAGGATATTGTACTACTCCAGCGAGAAATGTTTTGTATATTTGATGACGCCTCTTATGACATCGCACTCATTAACGTATTGGAAGTATAAACGTAGATCGAAAAGGCAGCTTGGTGAGTAACAAGCAAAATTACGRAAGCCATATCACGAAAAATAACCGYTTTGCTTCAGTAAAAGCACTAAACAGGTATTGGAATCATGTTCAACAAGAAACACAACGAAATATTAGCACATGAGCTTGCCAACAGATCTTTAGGGCAAGTCATCGTTGAAACTGGTTTTCTGGTCCTCATAGCGGTCACAGCTTTCGTAGGCAACTCCTGCGTGATCTATGTGTTTTACAAGACACCGTCYWTTCGTAAAGTCGCCAATTTCTATCTTATAGCTTTAGCTATCTCTGACGTTACCATGTCTTTACTTGAAATGCCCTTAACGATAGCCGTAGCCATCACTGGAAAGGATGTTTTGGGTAGAAATATTGGCCAGGTATTTTCGATATTAGGAATGGCACTGCTGTATGGTTCTCTGCTCACCACAGTTCTGATTGCAGTGAACAGGTTCTTTTGTGTCGTTAAACAAAAGTTCTACAAGAAATATTTCAATCCTAAACCAGCTATTGTAATGATTGCTTTGGCTTGGATAATTTCCTTGGGCTGTGTCGTAGTACCATTTCTTGATGGTACAGTGGTGTTCGAGTTTTATCCAGGAAGACTGATGTACTACCCCTCGTTTACTAACCACACCATAGAGATTGTTGTCACAGTCTTCACAAGCACTGGATTCCTGTTTTTTCCAGCGTTGGTTGCTTTCTGTTACTGGAAGATCTATAAAACAGTCAAGGGACACAACGCAAAYGTTTCTACAACTCTTAATGCTGGACCTCATGGAAGAGCCAAAACGTCCAAGGAAGAGATCAACGTTACCATGTCCGTCTTACCTTTGGCTTGTGGATGTATTTTGTGTTATTTTGTGAATTCAACTCTGATTCATGTTAATGTATATATCAACCTTCCTCGCTTGGTTGATATGTTTATGTTGTACACCCTTTTCCTCAACAGTGCCATCAACCCATTCATCTTCAACGTATTCAGCAAACCTTTCAGAAAGGAATTTTTGAAACTGATATTTGGGTATGGATCGGTAAGAGTTGCAGTCGTATCCAAGTTGGTCGATAGTTCTCCTGGAATAGGGAAAAATCTTCCAGCACAAAATCTGTCTTCCCCCGGCATAAACCACATAGGTCTTTTTTCTGAACATGCTTAATGTTAAAAAGTTAACAATAAACTTAAGTCTAAACGTCGAAACTCAAATATTACTTAAGTGTGAACGTCGTTCAAAACGAAAAAAAAAACTAATCCRTAAATGCGAAATAGATTGTTTTAAAAATATATGACATTTAAGAACATTAAAAGGTATTCACTACCTCTAAAATTGAGGAGGATCAAAAGACGAGAAAGAGGAAAAAGAAGAGGAAAAAGAAAAGAAAAAAGAAAAGAAAAAAGAAAAGAAAAGAAAAGAAAAGGAACAAGAAGAACAAGAAGAACAAGAAGAATAAGAAGAACAAGAAGAA